CATGTTGAAGATGTTTCAGATGAGAAACGTCCAAAAGGATCAAAAGCAACTAAGAAATATGAGGAATGGATAGCCGATTAGGCCCTCCCATACCCAATTTTCCTCACTCCGGCAAGACTTACTTACCGCATCAGAGCCAACATCTCCGATGCCTCTGTGCCCTAGACCAGCCCAAGCAGACGCAATACACCCAGCCACAAACCACCTACCGTCTTCACCCGAATAGAACGCCTGGTAATTATTGCCGTATCTGGACTGAAAGTTGCACCGTCTACGGCTATAATGACCGGGCGTTCTATTCGGGTGAAGACGGTAGTTGAGAACCATGGGAATTTGTCGAAGTTAGGAACACGCGGTCCTCGTTTCCGTCATCGGTGGGGTATCCAGACATAAACGAGCAGTCCCGATCCGGTCTCTGTCCACAAGAATATGCCACACTCTGTCCTAGTGAAGAGCCACATCAGTCTCGGTCGCGAATAGTCCACCATAACTGCCGTCGTCAATGCATGGACGCCATGGCTATCATGAAGGTCGCGTCTCCGTCGTTGCAGGGAAATGGGAAGTGCACCTGGCGAGGCCACCCCACCCCGTCCTAGTGAAGAGGTCCAAAATCCGTAATTATAGGAGAAACAGGAGGTCGTGGTCGTCGACGAGGTCCCAAAAGGCCTCGCCTCATCATTGAAGGTGTATTCAGGCCTTGATCGATCATCCCCTCAGTGGCAAGGCCCTCCCAACTTGGTGATCCCTGGTCCCCATTATTGGAAGGATCCTACAGTCTTCCCCCGAATACAACGCACGGTCATTATCGCCGAATTTGGTCGATCTTTCAGTCTAAATTCAGCTATAATGATCGTACATTGTATTCGGGGGAAGACTGTAGGCCTCAACAAGAAGCCGTTACCATCAGCCACCACCTCTGTCATCAAGTGGTTCCTAGCCCCAGCCAAGTGCCTCCCAATCTCTGTGCGCAGAGTCTCCTTGCTGCATCCTTGTTAAGAATCCTGTTCGCACTGAGGCCGGATTTGGATGCTATCGTGCATTTCGGCAATGGGGTATGTGGGCAAGGTGCCAAGGTCAGGAAGAAACTCCATGATGATTATACCTGAGTTAGACTTTTGCCTGCTGGGAACCACTATCATTTCCCCTTATCATCTGGTTGTGGTTGTGGAATACATGATTGCTTGCTTCCATCTGGTTCGAGTAAGCTTAGCTACTAGGTAGGTAATTGGAAGGAGAGTACAGTGGTTTATATTTGTATTTAACAGTCTGGAACTCTTCTCTGGGAATGTGACTGCTTACCGAGCAACATCTTTGTGTGTTTGAAAATTTGGGTTTACCTGTCTTTGCAGGGTTGAAGAACAAGGCCACTTGCATTGTGTGTGTGTGTGTGTGTGTGTGTGTGTGTGTGTGTGTGTGTGTGTGTGCGCGCGCGAGTGCATGCGTCTGTGTGTGTGTGTGTGTGTGAGTGTGTGTGTGTGTGTGTGTGTGTGTGTGTGTGTGTGTGTGTGTGTGTGCAAAAGATAGCGATGGGGAGAGCAAAGGTTGATTTGACAAAGATAGCAATGGGGAGAGCAAAGGTTGATTTGACAAAGATAGCAATGGGGATAGCAAAGGTTGATTTGACATACTAGAGTTTCAGTAGGACATTGGATTCTCTGGTTGATTGAGAAGGGTCTCTTTTTTGCAGTTTCCGTTTTGACGCACTCTTTCTGCAGTGTTGTATAGGGCACATGGAATGGCCAATGTGTGCTGTCAAAGTGGTGAGTGGGGAGCACAACTGTCCTATCCATGGAAAGTAAGTGGAGATGCAGTTGGCTTGAGAGGTCTAGTTTCTGTGGGTGACATGGGTGTGGGTGTGCTGGCTCCTTCGATGTCCAAACGTTTCTCTGTTGTGACAACTCGAGGAACTGGAAGTAGATGACAAAGTTACCTTCTTCCTCGAATACAACGTACGGTCATTATATAACTATATTTGGGGTATCTTTCAGTCTAAATACAGCTATAATGACGGAACGTTGTATTCGGGGGAAGAAGGTAGTTGTTTCAATCAAATCGGATATAGGATGTTGGAGAAAGAGACTCGAGTAGTTGGTCTGACAGAAGAGGGAGATCTTGTGAGTACTGGTTGACGTTGCAGGGACTTGCTGAGAACAGGTCATAGGAGTGGTAGTAGTGACTGGTGGACCTTGACAGCCCTCAAGGGTCCTTTTTTTTTTTTTTGTGAAAAGCCCAGGGTGTTGTGCAGGCCAAGGACCAGACCCCCTAACATAGTCTGATAGTGTATATACACATAGCCTGACATAGGGTTTTTTTTTTTTTTTTTCTCTTTGAACCCCCTCTCCAGTGTTGGTGGTGCTGGTAAGAGCAGACTCGTACTGGTGTTAATAGTGACAGGTGGACCTTGTCCGCCAGTTGACATGCTTTGCGCAGTATACAAGAGGAGGAAGAGTTTTCAGGGGAAAAAAAAAAAGAGGTAACTATGGCCGCGCCGGTTAGTCCGATGATAATACCTCAAGGCCATCGCCCTTTAGAGAGAAAAAAAAAAAAAAAAAAAAACCTTGATCTTGCAGGGACTTGTTGAGGACAGGTCATAGGAGTGCTAGTAGTGACAAGTGGACCTTTGACAACTGCCAGGTCCTATAGTCTGATGGTGTATATACTATATAGACATAGTGGTGTTAATATAGTGACAGGTGGTGGACCTTTATAGCCCCTATGCCAGTTGACGTGCTCTGTGCAGTGTACCAGAGTTGGAAGAATAGAGAGAGAAAAAGAGGTAACTACTGCCACCGTCGTCTCAAAATTAGAGAGAGGAGGGGGGGGGGGGGGGGTTCTTTCACACAACAGAACAAGCCCCTTCTATTCTGACGGATATCTGTCCGGTTGCCTGTCACCGGCAAGCAAGTTTGACAACGTCAGATTAGCAGTAAGATAGAACAGAAACGGGGGGTGAAGGGGTCTTGGGTCGGGCAAGAGCCTCGGCGCGCCTGCGTCGGGAAAACGCGGGGCACATACCACGTCCTCCTCACTCCGCAGCTTCCACTCCCATTTTCCGGGTGTATCCACTTTCACCACCTGCATGCATTCTCTGTTCTTTTGGCGATTGGCGTTTCCTTGAAGGACGGGGGAATGCTAAGATCCTGATTGATGGGTTTCCGATTGTCGATGATGTCACGATTTGTTTGGCCATCATGAGTCGATCGACTTGGGAAAAGGCCACGCACATTCTGAGTGTTTTCACTCAGTGCTATGGGTCGCCCCTGAGGCTTGTCCGGACAGATGCATGTAGTACATCCTTCGACTTTTGCGGGAATCATGATACATAGGCATGGGATGACTATTCCCACGGTTGGCATCCTTAATGTGGGATGATGGGAGGCTGGTGTTTGGCTGTTTTCATTACTATGCCCCTCCTATTGGAGAAAGAAGGCAAAATCTGGGCGATTTTGACTACTTTGCACCGTGGTTTTTTTTTTTTGGGTCTTACTTCACACTGATAGGGGCAGCATGAGGCGCCGTTGGTAGTAAAGAGAGAGCTGTTGATTAGACAATATCCTTTGTGACTGGTTGTTTCGACACGAAGATTCGCTGCGAAGGGCGGGGGGGGGGAGGGGGGGGGCGGCGGTGGCTCTGGAGGTTGTGAATGCATGGACGTTTGGTAGTGGCAAAGAGGGGCAGCAAGGGTGCCAAGCAGGCCTTTGGGCGATTTAAACTAGCTCCTTTTGGGTCTTGCTGTATTTTCTGAGCACGGCGGCAGGACTTGTAATCTAGCTCTGAGGTTCGGATTCGCTTTCCCGGGGTTCCGCGCTCCCCGGTGGAAGCACACCCTTGGTTCGGCTGTCTCACTTGAGCGACTTGTGCAAGGAGGTCTGCAAGTGCCCGAGGGAGAAGTGGGCTGTGAGGGAGACGAAGCAGCCATACCCGCTAGTTAGTGATAGAGGTAGAAAGCAGCCATAGCTGCTCTAGGTTAGAGATAGGTTATAACGTGCATGAGTGTGAGTGTTCAGTGAAAACATCCAGGGACATCCAGAGTAGCGTGTGTGTGAACGGTTGCTGAGAATACAGTGTCGGAAGGGTATTGTGAAGGCGCACAGGCGCCATAGCCATTCGAAGCAAGTTGAATCTGACCTGTGTTGCTGGCCACGATATCTCTGAGCTTTGTGTGGGCGTCTAGCGTTGCTGTGATTGCCATCTGTTTTCATGCATGCTGATTAAGGAAGAAGACGAGTCTGATTGCACACTCCTTTATCATTCATCTTGTTCCTTTTTGGACCCGGTACGTTCGGTTGTGGTACTGGCTCGAGATTTTGTTTCAATTCAATTTCTTAAGGGGGGCGCGCTTTCTTGTAGTTGCAGTACGTGCAGATCTTTTGTTTTTTCCATACTTGCAACCGCACGAGCCGCACATTCGTGCGGAGTTCCGTACGGAGTTCCGTGCGGGGGGTGCCTGTGCGGAATCGTGCAGGTTTTTTATTTTTATTAGGGGCAAGTACGTTTGTGTCACAAACGAAGTTCAAAAGGGCAAAAAAAACAATAATGGGCAACGAAAAAATGGCCGTAGTTCGAAAAGGCAGTCATAACATCAGACGGCGGTAACATCAGGCCCCGAGTTTGAAAAGGGCGGTTGTAGCACACTTTCCTT